TTTGTTGGATTTTTTTCATTCCTGCCACAGTTCCTGTGAACCTTATTAAACCCACTTAAATTCACCTCTGCCTACTTGTCTCTGCATCTGGGTCCTCAATCAAACACCACATCCTGACAGCTATTTCATTATTTTTGAATCTTGTTTTTCATAATAAAAAATAAACATGATGTAAGCATATAGGAAGGTGTAAATGTGAATATTTATATAAACATAAACTAATTAATTTCCTTACTTAAACATCTGAAGCAGCATGGATTGAAAGATTGAATAGAAACCAGAAAGATTGTTGATGTTAAGAACTAAAGGAAGGAGAAGGGATGTGACTGAATAGTTTCCAATTCTCTATAACTAGTTTCAGGCATAACACTAAATTATACACATATGGTATCAATTATACATACTGTGATGTTTAATGTGGTAAATTATACTGGATTGTATAAAATAATATTTTTATTCATTCAGTCCATCAATTCTGCAAAAAAAAAAAAAAGACACAAATTAAAAGGACCAGAAGAAAAGCCAGAAGAGACCAGAAGAGAAAAAGATACTCCTAAAGGCAGGGCCGGCTCAATATGGCCTTTAGGAAAATGTTATTTCAGGGCCTCTATATAAATGACTCACTTAAGCTTTGATTTTTGCAATTAAAATGTATAAAATGAATACAGGTAAGTGATTTTTTCTTTAAAAAGTTTTGTTTTTCCTTGATTTGAGCAGAAAAGTAAACATACTGCCAATAGAATAACAGTATTTAAGTTTAGAACAAAAAGAAAACAACTACATTATCTTTTTTCTACACGTATAGTACCTTATTAGTAAAACAACATAACAATTTATTAATATTACCTTTAAAAAAAAACACATAAAGCAGACAGTAATTTATATTGAAATATCATAAATATCATTGTAGAGACGAGGGCTTCAAAGAGATCACAGAAGAGTTGCTGGGTTTTTGCTCTTTTTAAAAATTAAATGAAAAAATAAGAAAAAGATAACAGTTGAACCAGAAACTGCAATAAACTATGGAAGCCCATTTCTGCCACTTCATAGTAAAATATTGACTGATGGTCAGGCATATTTTTTGGCATTAAAAGTCATAATTATGGGATTATGGCTTTATGTCGCCTAATTATGGCACCATTTGTCTTTAGTTTTAAATGTTTTCAGGTGGCATCAATAGGCTTCCATAGGGAAGCAATCAGAAGAACAATGACAAAATGAAATCTCTGTTAGTCTAATAATAAAATGCAGTAAATTCTACATTTAACTAGTTTACCAAAGTGATTTTTACTTAGTGTTATAATCAGCATGAACTTATAGTTAATTCCTGAGTTTATTTTTTTCTAAATGTAAACTTAACTCAGTAGGTGATCAAGTTCTCCTGGATCTCTATGCAGGGATCCATGTTTGAGACTTTAAAGAACAACAGCTGTGGTTTGTATAGATACACACAGCATCACATTTAGGTACAGCCCCACTACAATGCTGCAGGTCAAAGGTCAAGATACGAGGATTTAAGTAGGATAAGTTCCTGTGAATCTGGAGCATCCAGTCATCTGACTGATTGAACTCCAAATAAACATGTAAAACCTGCATCCATCAATCCCTCCCAGTCCATCACATGCATGCCAAGGCTCACATGCAGATTTATCCGCCTGTGTGGCTGAAGAGTTTGTCCTGGATTCTTTGGAGCGGTAAAAATCTGCGATTAAGCTCACGTATTTTTTCTGAACATCTGACCTATTTGCTGTCGACCATCAGGCCTCCGCTCCCAAGAGGGAAATAATTTCTCCTCCAAGTGTGTCGGAAAATGACGGAGCATCGAGGCTCGGAGCAGCAAAAGCTATTTGGTTTAGAAAGCCTTTGCCAGGAGGTTTTCCTATTCGGTTTCGCTCCATAATCTGATTCAGTATTACTGATTTATAAAAGCTGGAGGAGATTATAAAAGCACACAGAGAGCACCCAGAACAATAAAAAAAGCTTTTATAGAAAACAGGAGACAGAAGTTTTATTGTATTTCTAAGAGAGGGGGGGTGGAATAAAGATCTGCTGCTGTGTAACCATGGAGCCTTAAAACAGAGTCATTTATCTTGAACTTCAGTGACTTTTATTGGAAATAAAAAGCTGCTTTTCGACATTTTTTAAACCAATAAAGATCTCAGATGTAAGGCAGGCCACAACTAAAACATAAAAAACATTTTTAAAACACCTGAAAGAGCATAAATTAAATCAGCTTGTGGTCTTTAACACCTGCTGGGTTCAGCCTGAAATATTAAACCACTGTAATGGTGAAGAGGAGTCTTATTATCGCAGTAAAATGCTGAATATTAGAAGGCACCACAGACAGGAGAGGTGATGGTTAACGGGTTAAATGTCCAAACATGAGTCATTAAGACAGTTTTTGGACATTTTCCAACCAGCTTCAGAGAAGAAAAAACAGCCATTTTTACTAGGGATGCACGATATTGGGAT